TCAGTCGTTCAAACGATATAACACGTGTTTCACGTATCTTTCAAGGTACTTCATCTCTTATTAACCATTATTGTTTAGTTATTATTTTCCTCTCAAAGTGTAAATAGAACTGTTTACTTTTATAATCAAACACTGCATATTTTCAGTACAAATCTTGGTTCAAGTTAAAAATAAGTTAAAAAAATATCCGTAAAATTGTGTTGGTTTATGCACAGTGTATCTATGAACAAAGCGAACGTTATAAAAAAGGCAGTGCTCAGTCGGTTTACGGACTAAAGTTATCAATAATTGATAGACCTAGTTATAGACTTTATTGTAGAAATAAATTAGTATATTATCATATTTCTCCAGCTTCACATTTTAGTTAAAAGATTATGTTTATAGAAATTCGTAGACTACACCCTTTCTTTTCGCCCCATCTCTTGCCCTTTGGCTCCATTACTTTCGAAAAAAAAACGATATGCCAATTTAAAAATGAGTAGTTTATTTTGCACGACAGACTTGCCCTTGTTACTGGCTGATATTTTCTAATACACCTTTTCAAGAAATCCAAAGTGAAGAGCGTGTCAATGCTTGGATGTTTGATATTTAACAAATCGTCGTTCACTTTGTCAGGGGCAAAAGTTTTCTCGGGTTTAATATAATTTTCTTTTTGTAACAGCTTAAATCATTGGAAGCCTAAAACAAGCTTTCACAGAACTACATTGATCGATGTTTGAAAAAATACATTTTAAATGAATTACAAACACAAAAACATAAACAAAACCTACAAATAGCCCTTAAAATCGACCTTCTGCTCTTTCTCGAAAATGCCGTTCGTACACCACACTGTGCAAGTGGAGCGACAGTTTGACGGGCGTGAAATAGGTTCTTCCACAGGGAAGTGTTTGCAAATGGGCAGATGTATGTGTCGGACAATGCGTATCATATTTTTGAGCGCATGTTTGCCATTAAATCCGGTTAATGAATTGTTTACGTTTCATGTGCTTCATGGTTGTTTTATTACTTTTGTATTTAAAGGCAGAATTGATAAGACTTGTTTCATATCGTTCAGTATTGTATTTGTTTGATTTCCTAACACCGGATTAGTAACCCGGGGACCGCTTGCTTGAGGTTCTTCACGACAATTGCCTCGGACATGAATAAGAAGTCGGTTACCAAATCGACAATGTTCTCAATAGTTGTCGTCCTAGACAAAAACTAGAATGAAGCTGACTTTTGTATTTTTTTATTATGATTGTTATTTATTGTGTCTTATTTTTGTCCTTGTTACGACAGGTGGTATACCCGCATAGAATTTCTTGGATAACAACCGAGTAATTAACAATTTCTCAGCAGGTGATCTTCGGTAGAAGGAGTAGCAATTCTAAAATTTTGATGAAAATGATACTTTGAGATCCGTATATTTCTTATAAAAACGGCTAAATATGGACGACTTTATATACACGACTTTACATAGACGACCAGTATGAATTATTGGCACTTACATTATATAAACCATAAAAGATAATTGTCTTAATCATATTTTTCTTATTGTTATCCCTTTGTATATAAACACATATTATAAGCGGCAAGTTTTTTCAAAAATAATAACAGTACTCATTTTCTATAATATAAGAATGCCGATAGTTCAATTAGCTGTAATTGGCTGATGTGACCGAAATTGCATTTTTAAATTTACACAGATACTAAACTACGTCATTGTTTTAAAAAACATGAATATATAGACATACCACCAAACATGTAATTCTCAAAATTAGGGCATTTTGGCAAATAGTTTAGTACCTAGGGGCAAGATGATGCTTTAAAAAGCTCTTAAATTTGCAAGTCTGGCGTTTTTCACAAAATTACAAATTTTGCTGCTAACCACACAGATAAATCTCATGTTTCAATATAATATTTTCAATTTAATAGGTGTTGTTCTAAATGTAGCCTTTATAATTAAAATGCTGTTAAAATGCTGATGTTCTTAGATAAATAATTACATGCCAATTATTTCAAAATGGCCATTATGTCATATTATTTCTGGCTTGAAGCTTTTATTCATAACATTTTCTTTCCCAAATGCATATGAAAAATGTTCATGGTGAACAACTAATTAACAAGTTTTCTCTTGTTTTACTTCTTTAATAAAGACTTTTCTCTTTACAGAATACAAATCTAGTTAATATAAGATATAAGTAACTGATAAGAATTTTATTTAGAAACAAAATAAAGTTTGCTATAATAGATAGGGGAGACTTTTTTGGCAGCTAACATTTTCATTATAAATCAATTATGCATAAAACACGGTTGTACGAATACTGGTATTAAAAGGTAGGACTGATATTAAATACAGAAATAATGATTGTTATATAAATGGCTATCTCGTGTAATCCAGATATTGTGTCAGTCTGTTTTTTCTTCACATCAGCCAATATTAAGTTTGCTTAGATAAGCAAACAATCAACAATTTTAATAATTTTCTATTAAAAACGTCACAACGGTCAACATATATGAAGAATAAGTTTCTTGCTTATTTATATTATGGATGTTCTGAATCAAGCTAGAACCACCGGAATATACTGCAGCAATTTCAAAATCTGTACAACTAGATTAATTTTATCTTCGTTTGATCATATCCGTAGAAAACATGTACGATTCGTTAACAAAACTAAGATGTAAAAGAAATCTGCAGCCTCTTTTTTCAAATATTCCTTACTGTCTTCCTTTGAGATAAGAAATGTTGTATGGTATTTTATGAAGACATTTTAAAAATATTCAAGATCACCGACTGAGTGCTGAATTGAAAAAAACTTGTAATTATATATTTAACTTGCTTAAACTTGTAAAATCTCATTCTATGCTTCATAAGTATAGTGTCTTGTGTCATTAGACCAGTTGTGTGTCACTGTGCCATGAAAAATCAGGAGAAACGTTGATCTCTCGGAAGCAATGATCAAAGAAAAATTACTTGAAAATTGCAGACGCGGTTTGGTTGGGCCTGTACATGAATGAAAATGAGAAATTGCAACATCCCTCACGCTCTCTAGCAACGGATTGAGCGGTACAATATTTGTGAACAAACGACAACCTTATACCAAGTAACAAATGGACAATTACTGTGATTCATACACTGTTAGAGCAGGTGCATGTACACTGTATTTCAGGCGCGATTACAAACCATTAAGGGTGAAAGACAGAAATATTTATTTTGAACAATATATGTTTCATCTATACTTGATGATAATTCGTAACGTGTCTTGTCAAAGAATTACATATATTAGACGTTCTACATTTAAGTTAAATGTGTACCTCATAACATTAATTTAAATATTGATACGAAACTCATTTATAGAGTATAATAAACAAATCATATGAAATATTACAAAATGTACGGACTTGTGAAGAAATGAGGATATATCAAGTGCGAAATACATTATATTTAAAACTGCACATTTAAGCTCTTTATATAAAATTAAATGCATGACATGATATTGAAATGGTTATTGGTATCTCTAAACCAGTACTGTCAGCAATATACTTATACGAAAATGGCTGTCAGTCTTAAAGTTGCGTAATTATCATTTTGAATATTCATTGTTTTGACAAGGAATAACAACGCTATCAATTGATATAATTTTAACTAAAATTGCTTCTGAAATGAAAAAGTGAGGATATTAATCTACGAATATATTAAACGCCCCTCGTATACTTTAGAAACATGTGCATTTAAAGCAATTAGAAAAGTAATTTCTGCAGTTAAAACTTTTTTATCAGACGTTAGATAAAATAACCGTCTAGCAATTATTTTGAAATTAAAATTACCCTGTCTATTTCAACTATAAAACTCCTACATAGTTGATGCCTTAGATTTAATTTCGATATGCAATGCTGGGCTCGACTCTGTGATAAATTTCAAAAAGTACATACCGGGGTTTGTAAGTTTTCTTTATAAATAAGTTTTTGAATTTGTATCTTTTTTTTTCGAAAATAAATTATAAACCTAACATAGAGTTTTTTTTATTTGTTTTGTATTTTATACTAGTGTCGACGTTTTGTTTACTTGTATTCCAGGTTATTTTTGTTGTTTTATTCTGCATTGTATGATATTGCAAATGACTGGAAGTTATCAAGCCAGTGTTATTTAACCTTTTGTAACCATTACAACTGTAAGAAATTCACTTGGCGGGGATTCATTTCATTTACACTTTCACGTTTATAGGAACATGGTGGGGCTAAGAGTGAGGTTTGGTGCACCATTAACCGGTTGAAACTCCCTAGCAGTACTTGTGCTGCTGACCGTTCCAAGGTGGCGCGCCTCTGTGTTCCTCATAGATGTATGTCTATGTTGTTTCATACTGTTTTTGTGACACTTTTGCTTGTGTCCCTTGTTGTTTTACCGTCTACGGTAAGTATCTTCCCCTTTGCCCCTAGTTTTATTTCGTTAATTTACCCCCCCCCCCTTCACCGGGTACCTGTCCACTTCCCCTGTTTCGTTTGACTTCTTGTGCCTATTCAATCATTTTTTTGTTTTCTTTGAAGTCTCATCAGTTACAATTTATTTCTTATTATTCTATCATTTATTTGTTTTCTTTGAATTCCTCATCGGTTACAATTTTTTTCTTATTGTTCAATCATTTATTTGTTTTCTTTGAATTCCTTTATTTATCAGTTACAAATTATTTATCATTTTAGTGTTAAGCCTGTCCTTGCTCTGCCCTGTGCCATATCATGTTTTATCACACACCCGTGCCGATTTTGCGACTCCGTAAATATGGTATAATATAATTTTATTCAACTCGTGCAATAAATTCAGTATTGAACATACACTCATTCAATATCCTCTATTTGTTTGGGGTCCGCCTGTGCCCCTTGCCACTGGTTCTTGTTGCTTGGTCGTATGGGGGTTGCATTCATTGAACGCCGCATTTTCCGGGTTGTTTATCATATTTTATTGGTCTATGGAGCTATCTTGTTAGAACAATATAATAAAAATTATGAAACGTTCACAATTTTATTTTAGACTTGGTATACAAGATAAACAAAACATATAAATTAATGATATCGCTTAATTTGAAAACCAGATAGTATAACTTGTGTCAGACCAATCTGCTAGACTCGTGAATGACGATAGTAATAACGTTTTAACCTTAATTTTAAAAGGGGAAATATTTTAATAAGTATTGATAAAACAGAGAAAAGTAGAGACCATGATCAGATGGGTGGAAATAATCTATCCTATAGTATAAACATAAACACATGTTTTCAATCTTTTTGATATGATTCCTTGAGTAAGGATTGACTTCAATAGACAAAACACCTAAAATTGAAATATAAGCAAATAGAATGCTAATATTTTAACTACAATAAATTCAGATATAGGATATCACAAGAGTGTCAAATAATCTTTTGTTGTATTGAAACTCTGAAAAGCTTTATACAATTGTCTAGAACGAGTTTGATAAGATTTAATATCATATGACATATTATGATCAAGTGACTAATCACATTTAAATTAATTAAAATAATATTACTTTGCCCTTTTACGTGCACATTTGTGCGTTGTATTTCTAATGAAACGTAGAGGCAATAAAACCTCGCCATAACGATGTAATATTACACGTGTGTAATATAAAGAACCACGTAATGGCTGTATTACATAATAAAAAAACAAGCGACGTCATGTGATAAAGCTGTTTCTTCAAATGTTAGATCTTCTTTAAATGTCAATTATTAGCATTTCAAAAGTAAATGTACATCCTATTTTGTTTACAATATCCGTGTTGTCACTTGTTGTGTAAACCGATTCAAACATCTTCAGCACCAGAATCTAACGTTTTTGTTTCTGTCATAATGCCGTCTATGTCCTCATTTTGCCACGCCGGAACATTCTTTCCGTTTCTCTTTTCTCTACTTTTCCTGGACCACGACACATGCTCTTGGCATTTTTTGTTTAACTTACATGTATCAACACAGTTTCCATGAGTGAGCATCGCGCCCTCATTCAAACGCGTATCTCTTGATAAGGTGTCCCGTGATGTCCTTGAGGCTTTCCGCCATGACGAGAGGTTAATGGAACGCGTGTGAAATCTATTGAACCTACGTCTGTACCAAAAGCGTCTGATCTCATTGTGAACCTGTAAAAGATAGATTATTCTCTAATATTGTCAAAATACAATATATTCTTATAAGTTATAACTTCATATAAATATGTAATTACTGTCACTTGACAAAAATGTCTGTATCAGAATGTTACATACGTTATGGTCAAATCTTCGTAATATAATAGATAATTTCATGTGTTCACAATTGAATCGTTTGTTGTTTCAAAAGCATGCATAAGCGCGCATAATGATTTGACCGAGTCAGTTGACTGAAAATTAGCCATTCATGTAAAGTTATTAGTGACATTATGTACAGACTATGTCATTTTATATATTAACGGCTTAAACGCATCTTGCTTGCTTCTTGCAAAGATTACGATTAACATTATTTACCATAAGATTCTATGAACAAACGTTATTAATACTTTAGGGCCTTATTTTGTCTATTTATAACAAATTTATTGCCACATCAAAATTATAACCAGCATTTTTATTGAAATTTATCAAGACTGCATTAAGATAATTTACAGTTTTGTCAATTTGAGCTTGTGCCCAACAAGCACAATACATCTTTAATAGGATCTTAGTCAAGTCGGCACTGATATGGCTATGTCTAGCCACTCTGAATGTAATAAACCTTAGAGTACTACCATTCATTAATTCAGGAACGAGCGGACACATCAATAGAATTACCTATTTTAAAAATTTCAAATATTCCTTCAAATATTTGAATAAGTTCATAATAACACGCAAACACGTCTGCACGTTCTGCATAGGGCTATTTCACTATCAAGCACGAAATAAATACGCTAATGTTAATATTACCTCTTCGTTCAGGAAGCAAAACAGCAAGGCTAAAACAAAACCCTGAAATAAAAAAGAAAATCTCATTTGCTAATTGTGTTATCTAATGTCTATAAAATCTGCTACAAAAACAAAGAATTAAAATGAAATTACTTATCTCCGATTTAGAAATGTATTTTTGCCAAAGATAAATAGCAACAAAAAAGAGAGAAATTTTACTTGTACTAAGATTGATTAAAATCAGACACAAAGTGTGTATTATGTAGGAAAATCAAAAACACAACATTCATCAATACTTTTGTTTAAGGAAATATCATTTGCTATAAACAGAATACATACTTGAAATGAATTGTAAAACATTTCACAGTATAGGTATATCATATCGGCTTCCATGCTTACAGTGCCCGATGGATAAGCAGAGAAAGCTATGTAGATAACGCCAAACAGTGGAATGAGCACTAGAACAAACTTTGCTGTCTTTCTGGTAAAATAGAGAAAAATATAAAAACAATCACTAATTGTCAGTAGAAATGTTCTATGATATCAAATGTTCTCTTACTAACAATAATGAAGCAGAGTCTGCAATATTGACAACAGAGCAAAATCCTTTATTGACAACAGAGCAAAATCCTTAACACCTTTTAACATTAAACTGTGCCGCTTTATGAAATTAGAGAATGTAATATCTTCCCAATTAACTTTGATTGTCAATAGGTTAAGACAAAACAGGGTTAATATGAAACATTCTTTGTTACCATTAATTTGTCACTGTAATATATCATAGACACGAGCCAAAACTATTGACTTAAAACTTAGTTATTTGCGCAAAGAGGTTAAGTTCAAAATCATTCAGTTTAAGAACTGTCTTTGTGAATTTAGAGACGTCCAAGTTTAAATATGAGGAACAATGCGTTGGTTCTATTTATACTATTCAATTTGGCAGCCTAAGCCATCGCTTAACATGACACGATTGAAAATGATGTAGACTCTTTTTTTATTAAGCCCACTTGTTTATGTTAGTGTTCGTCTATTTCTAGACATGCATATAATTAAATTAAATTTCAAACAAAGAGCGTTTATAATTTCATCATTTATAACAAAAGACAATTAATTTTAAAACGAATTATTCACAAGCTTAAGACGTAAAACAATGTTTTCTTCCGAATTTATCATCCTGATTACAGCAAAACATAATACAATAATGGATTCCAAAATTCAAATTTATCAATTAAAATGTACAGATTGCGTGTGATCCTACTAACAATTAAAATGTCAAAGTATCAGCTCGCTTGATGCAAATAAAACATAAGTGATTAAAAACAAATAAATTCAACAAATATGCATGGTCCTTAACACCACACTTCAAATTTTAGTGACAGAGTTTCTTAAGTTTATTAATTACCACAAAAACCTTCTTATATGTGAATGATACAAAATCATAAATCTTTATTTATGCTAAAGTTTTGTTTGTTTCATCTGCAGCAAACGAAGAAGAGATATGAATAAATTACCTTAAATGTTGAGAATCACTTTTTACATGTCGACTTATCTTTGCTCTTACACACAATACCCGCACAATGTTGATGAAACATATGAAATTTATCTGCAAGTTTAGAATATTAAGCATGTATGATACGTCACTTCTCTTCCTTCTTTTCAAAATATTTTATACAAAATGTAGTTCAGAGAAATACCATTTCTTTTTGTTCCTCGTTGAATATGTATTTCATTTATTCATTTATTTTGCCGCAAAATTCAGTTACTCAAACTGTACACGTAATGAAAGTGAAATGAAACTGACATATAATTATACATGTATATATTGTTTTTGATTTAGCCAAGGAGAAGATATGGTCACAAAGATCGAAAAGACAGCTACTTTTAAAAAAAATCAGCCACACATGACTACCGTTAAAGCTACCACCATTGTCCGATCAAACAGACAGAGAGGATAAAGGGCGAGCAAAGGATTTTAGCGTGCCACTTTTAAGATTTTTCCTTGAAGGGCATAAGAAAATTACATTATGAATGATTAATTGCTTTGTATGAAAACACTTTGAATAATTAAAGTTTTATTTTAGCACTTTAAGTGTTGATATATCAGGTTAACTTACCAGAACTGATAACTGGATGGGTGCTTTTATAATCCAGAAATATCCATCAGTACGGTGTTGATTCCAACATCTAGAATTAATGTAATAGAATAGTTTAAAAACATTTAGTAAAAAGGTATCAGGCAGTAGCACACTTAAGAAAACATATTATAATTTTAAAAGAATATACTATTGTTTTATTTCAAAATAAAAAGTAATGAAGGTTCTGATTTATTATTAAAGATCTGTTAAACGAAAATAATCCAATTCATTACGATGTGTGAAATTTCATTGTCGCTACAAAAGAAAAATTCATTTAATGCTATAATTAAATTTGCCATTTCATGTTTTTATTATTATGCATGATGTGATTATCCGTTTAAGACAGTAATTAAAGGTAAGCTGTCAGCGCCATACCGAAGACTAAATAACTGGTCATAGTTACTTTAGAGTATTCAGAAAGGTAAATTTTGTTAGAAGTTTCGATTTAATAATGCACACATAAGTATCATAGGCGACGGTTATAAAAATATATGTTTTACATATTATCACTTACAACTCGTTTTCCTCGTAAATTCGAACAATAATCCAAGGTATCAGGTATGCAAATGGTGATACTGAAAATAACAAACATTATGATCAGTTTTGTTAAAATATATATCATGTTTATGACATTGTGTAAAGAATGTACATGTTATATTTTTGAAATGATGAAGGAAGTCATTTAATTGATCACATTATAAAATTGGAATATACAGAACTAATTGATGTAATTTTTATTGATGTATCAATTTTTCTTGTTCCCGTTGCTCTTTTTTTTTCTCAGACAAAAAGTCACCATTTGATAGATCAAATTTCTTAGCAAAATTGGAAATAAAATACTTATAGATACAATTTCATAATCTAATTGATCTAGTTGAAAAAAATCATTAATGAGCCGCGTCATGACAAAACCAACATAATGGGTTTGCGACCAGCATGGATCCAGACCAGCCTGCGCATCCGCGCAGTCTGATCAGGATCAGTGATGTTCGCTATCAATTTCTCTACTTGCTATAAGGTTTGTAAGCGAACAGCATGGGTCCTGATCAGACTGCGCGGATGCGCAGGCTGGTCTGGATCCATGCTGGTCGCAAACCCATTATGTTGGTTTTGTTGTGACGCAGCTAATTGTTTTAAGAAAATAATGATAAGTGGATAAAATCAAACACTAGAACATGAATAACTAAATGATGAATAAGTGACAATGTAATAGGAAATAAATTATTAATTGATTTAAAGGTCAAAGGACAGAATCACTGAATATTTCCATCTAGTATATATATTAACTAGAAACATCACAGTTGTCCTATAAAAAACATCTAGCTTGAAATGCTTTCATTCATTACTTTTTATATAGCTTTTCAATGAGTAAAATATAAAATTACATGGAGGCCAAATATATAATCGCCATATTACCTTTTTTAATGTTATATATACTTCATATTATGACTCCAATTACTACTATATATGAAGAAAGTGTTAAGTTGATTTGTAAATCAATGTTTTATTTCATTCTTGCAGAAACACCAATGTTTTAAGAGAATTTCATACCTTTCATGCTCATCCTTTTTTTTAAATTTTTGAAATGCTTTCTATATTTTAAATTGTAACATGTATATTTATTCTGAGAAATAAGATATGTTTAAACTTATGTGAACGATATCCAGAACATGCAAAGTGTACATCATTATAATTCGCTCAATATGCCTGACATAATACTTAATGATCCAACAAACTCGTATCAAAGTATCAATGATGCCTTAAACAAAATGTTATGTTATTCGGTGTACAATTAACTGAATCTGTCAGCGATATTATTAATTTTAGACCTCGTTTGATGTTGAATGATACAGTTTAATGTGAATCTCCTTTAATAAAAACTTAAGTAATTAAGTAGAATACACAGTACAAAAAGGATATAAACAATCACTTGTAGGCACGAGTAGGTCAATGGATAGATTTCATTACAATTACTTATGGCGGTATATTATAAGTGTTCTCTAACCACCCCTTAAAAGAAGATAAAACTATATATGATCACTAAACTTACACCATCCCACTAGAACGTATATTCTTGTTCCGTTTCTCTCAGTGAACAATGTTTTATATACAAGCATCTGTAAGTACATTCCCTCCATTAATATCCACATCATACTTGCAGCCACAGTGTATACAAATATACATACTATTAATTTGCACTCCCAATGCTGAAAGAAATGTAACACAATATCTCACAATGCATTTAATTATTCTAGTGTAATAGGAATTAAAAATTCTATACATTATCATTTATGTAAGACATCTATTTATGACGGACTTTGTTTTTCTATAATAGAACACTTAACTCACTAGGCCATAAAAGGTTGGATAAAAAGTTTCGTTAGCTTGCATTCGAGTCCGGTTAGCTCATAAGGTAAAGCCTTTAACTGTGGATCGAGCGTTCCGGGGTTCGATTCCCTGACGGTGCAACTGAGATTGATCATAAAAACCTCATTACGGTTACTCGTCAAACATGCACATATATTTGAACTAGTACATGTTAACTACTTGACAGCATGTCCAGGAACGATGCGGTTGCTAAACTATGGACGGATAATTTAAAAGTGGCTTACTGCGTAAACTACCAACACTACTACAACCGCATATGAATCCGCGTTTGAAAGATTATTAGAAAACATATATTATTTGTTTAATTATACATGATCATTTTAATTTTCTTGCACTAGTAAAGTAAATTTCTGAATAAGTATAGTATAGTGTAGACGAGAAAGTTGCTTATATACAAGTAATCCGTTCGACATATGATCATATACAATAATAACGGGATGGCATTTACAAAAGTGTTCACACATTGATTTGTTTTATACATATAAACCTTACAAAATGTTTTCTCATTCATATTGAAGAAATGCGAACAACTCTTTTATGCAAGATTTAGTTTTATGTGTATTTGTTCGATACCAATTATGTTGCCGAGTACACAATTATCTATTGTCTTAAAAGTTCAGTATCTAGTGAGAGCGGATATCGACGACATTGACATTTATTCCAAGTTATTTTTGTACGTAATTATTGTTAAGTGCAGAGACAAATACAAAGTACCCACAAATTGAACAAGGAAATGTCGGTTTGTACTTTAAGTTTTGAAGAAAGGATATTTGGAACATGGACAATATTTGATGCCTTCTTTTATATTAAAATTCTTAAACATTTTTTTTCAAATATGTGGTCTGTATTGTCCGATCATCGTTGAGTGAGATCAAACAGTAAAAGCATATGAATGTGATTTACCGTTTACTTATTGATGCACTTAAGGCATGTTGTGTGTTTGTATTTGTAAACAAATATTTGGTGGATGATAATTTTAATAATGTTTAGTGTTATATACAAGTTCATTTCGGTATCAAATGCGAAATATTCAATGCCTAAGTATAATGTCATTTCTGGTTTTCTTTGATTTGTATGTTTTGTCACATCAGAAGTAAAACTTTAAACAAACAATATTCGAATTGATCATGTTTCAATTGGATCCTTTACTTTATCTTAAAGGCGCTCCGCAGCGGTTCAAAACCTTAAGATCTTACATAGATAAAATGTGGCACTTTTTTGTGACAACCGGAGTGAGCACAGGATCTGAAATCAGCACATTAATAACCCTTTATCAAATAGCACAAGAGTTCAAGTTTCGCCATGTGAAGGAAATCTAAAAGGACTTCCTTCAAACATACCGCTATTCGACTTAAATGATATGAATAGACATAATTTTGTATGTCTGAACTGATATACCCCTGACATACACTACAAACGGGAATAAATGGAGGCTCAGAATTATCAAACTTAATATATAACATAAATATAATGTGTTATTACCATTCCCTCCTTTTTAAATTCTATATACCCTCCAGGATGCCGCTTAATGTCTTTTTCTAATCCAACATCGTCAACAAACACCAATGTCTTGATAAAAGATACAGACGCTCGGAGTATGAAAGCAACAAACAGGTTTATATGAAGAACGTTGCTCTTGCAATGTAGCCTCCTGTAATTTATTTTAATATAATAAAAGAGTGACGTAAGCCAATATAAAAGTTATAAATAGTATTTTAAATTCTATTTCAATAAAGCTCATTAGCTGTAAGTCTTAATAAACAGTCAGGTAGCTTCAAATCGAACATAGAATACATGTACATCACTATGATAACCTATAAATTACAGAACCATATCAATATCATTTTTTGTTTATAGCACCAAGAATTATAGCAAGGATTTTATGCAAGTTCACTTCAGCATTTTAAAATACATTTAGTTTTATATGTTAACTGAAATTGAATTCAAACAGTTCAAAAGTACACTATTCATGCGTAATATTTTCAATAACTTCAATCATGTATATGATACGGAAGATCCAGATAGAATTAGAATACAATATTTTTATAAATTATGTTCAAACATATTTCCAGACAAGTGTACGAGCGTAGCTATAGTAACTTTACAAAACCCGGGTTAAATGAGACTATGGGGAAGTCGTGCTTTAATAAATCACGATTAAAACAAAGTCCTTGATAAAGAATGACAATAATAAGTAGTGGTTTGCTGTAAAATTCTATACGTAGTATAAGCACTGTATAATATATAAATACTGTATTGGTACATACTTAGAAGCCACCATTATCGTAACAGCAACAATAAGGGAGGCCAAGGACACTCCGTACCCAATCTCCGACATCAGTTGTATCCGACCTAGATGATGCTGGAATCATATAAGAAAAATATAAGATTTCGAAAAGGATTGATAACGCCTGTAGCTGTATCTATTTGATTTTCATTTACAATGATTATTACATAAAGCTTAAAAAGTGCAAAATGATAAAACATAAGATCTTACAATTTTACATTAAATAAATACCATAAGTGAAACTGGATTATTTAAACATCAATTTATCAACATGCTAGATATAACGAAATGATCCTACTGAATAATCCTTCTGAATTTGTGGTTTTGGACCTCCCATGCACCCGGTGTAGTTTGACCATCCTTCTGTGTTATTGAACTCAGTATTTGATTTCCATGAACCATTACTCAGACACTCACGTGTCACGTATCCTGCAAATTTTGAAATAACCTACATACATTGAATATACTACAATGAAAAATACACAGGATATGGGCAAGCAATGGCATAACAACACTATTATTTTATCTTCAAAAGGCAAAAGATTCTTGTTACAAGTTTTGTCCCCTTTCGCTCCTTTAAGGGTATGTTTGACCCCAAAGAAAGATTGGTCCTAGGCCTCCATTACATTTGTTTTCATTAAATCGTTAAAACTTGTTGAATTGAATAAATGATAATGGACTTTTGTTGCAAATGATGTACATGTATTTGACTCCGTCATATACATTTTTAAGTTTTATTTTCATAATAATGGTCACTGTTAACATTATATATTTAAATAAGGTATTTATTGTTTAAAATACTCCACTGATTTTTATTAACTTTTTTTTTTAAATTATTTGTTATACCATTGAATCAAATGATTTATTCTCTAGAACTATACTTTTCAATAGATAACATATATATTCAATTTGTTTATCAAACATTAAATCCTTAACAATCTATAGTTCTAAATTGGTATGCTAACAAATCCGCAGTAGCTTTCATTGATGCTTAGATAACCTTTGATAACGTCGCACTAATAGACACTAAAATTAATTCAGTAATTCAATAAGTTGATAAGTTAATCTTCTTTATTGACAATTGAATAAACACTTTGTATCTAAATAGTAATTAATTATCTTAAATGTTATTTATTAATTGAATGTGTGTTTATTCATTCATTTCAATGTATTCATTTCATCCTTTGATTGAAAATGTATAATGATAAAAAAATGAGTTTTTTTTATTTCTTTGTTATCAGAAGTGAATATCCATCCGATAAATATTCACATATGCAATATGTACAATATGTATGATTTATGGGATGTGAAGATGATGACAGATATGTTTAGAAAAGAAAAGGTTTAATACCATTGAAACATGAATGTTACTTCCATGTAGAAAACAATACATATATTTATCATTTTAGTTCGGTTTATGGCTATCGGTAAAAACGTCAAGGTAGACAAGGTAAAGTAACAATAAACTGATATAATGTATAAAGTGCATTTAATTTAGCCTTTGAACTTAATTTTTACCTAGATATACTTAAGGACTAGGCATAATATTAAACTGCAACAATTAAGCTGCAAAACATAACTAATTTTAAATTAGAGTTAGGAAATTAGCGGTATAAAAGAAAACTAACGTTTTACCGGAACATATAATCTAAAAAAAAGTTATGTTTATGGAAACGTTTAAATATATATATTTGCCAACATCACTACAAATGTCTAGACTTTAAAGTAATTAGAATAATTAGAAATGATTATACTAGCACGCACTCATACGAAAAATGGTGTCATAAATCTGTTAGGTTCATTTGGACGCCAGCTACTTTTTGTTTCAAAAATATACCTCTCTGTAACAGCCATTCTTCAAAACATGATTTCAAACAATGTCGTCAATACCTGGCTTCTAATTGCATACTATATTTTGCAAAATAAAATCTGTTCGGCTCTTGGATTTTGGAGACCCCTTAGAGCGGATAAGGGTTAACCCATTATTTAGAATCATGATTACGTTACTCAATAGCAGAGAGAATGTCCGATCATATTAATGTTTTCACTAATGACAGTTCTAAGTTGACTGCAGTGACATTGATTGACTAACTGTGAGGAAGAATGTAGAAGTATATCGCTCATCTATCGTGATATTGGTGATATACATATTTGCATATATATAGAGAAAATGAATTATATCACAATAAAGGTGTCATCTGTATAAGAAATATATCGTGATAGGGTAAATGGAAGTTACTCCTGTTTTAAAAAATGAAACAGAATTAAACATCGTCATTTATTAATTTTTACAGATCTGTTGCTAGCCTCAGGGGTTTTAATTGTGTTATCAGTATCAATTTATATAAACTGAACTTAAATTAAAATCGACTGGTCCAACCGTAAAACTTTATACTGAATTCATTCATATTCATGTAAACAGTCACCGATAAAAAATATTTTGATTTTTTATTGGGTGAACGCACGTTTTTCCTTGTTATAACGTCTGCAAGTCCCGAGGAACGGTTGGTGCGAAAAGAAACGTGCGTTGGCGCTATTATAGTATAATTTTTAAACCAGATTGACATATGCTTATTTAATACAACACAAATACATGAAGTCCGGGGGGGGGGGGCGGTTTGTTCTTGGACAGTATTTATCCAATTCACACGCAGTTTTTGGCAACATGTTTAAGGTATGCGTTTTATTTTTCCGAACAAAATGTCGAAGTTTAATTGATTTAACAAAACTTACTCAGGAAAGAAACTAATAACTCTACCCAAAGAAAGTATGACCCTAAGAAATTCAGATTTACAGGGGGCATTTAGAACTGGATTTGTGACTTGAAATATATAACGGTTTTTTAAGCACAAGTTCATAAAAAATTGGCACGAAACGTTAAGAAATATAAATTATTTAAATTATTTATCATAATAAGCAGCAAAAAAAACACACAACATTTTCTCGTATTCACTTTGTGTTATCTTGTTTTCTGAGTTAATCGTAGGGCAGATATATGTTTACATTGACAACTGTTCGTTTCTTAGAAAGGGCGACAACCAAGATTAGCGGCGATGTCTACACGCAGTATTTCCGGCAAAGGTTCTTGAATGCTGCTCGCCGGCCCTCGAATCGATTTTCAATAATGACAATATAACAAGAGTGCATATTTTTTTGGCAAATATGCCAAATCGTCATTTTGGATTGTTTGATTACTGGACCCAGTATGTATTGCGCATAGGTAAAACTACAAAGGTCTATAACAAGAGTGCGTGACTATTAACACATGGGCAAAAGAGGGGAAAATATCCGATTTTATGCTATAATGTGAAATATTCGTATTTGTAAACATCTCTATACAGTTATCATTATAACCATCTCTCAAACTTACAAAGATAAGTATTGATCACAATGTACATACCCGCACTGTTTAGACCAATTATGTAATCTGGACATTGCTGTTTTAAAACTGTCCCTGCTGGAGTATAATCCCAGCACATGACATTATCCCATGTTACATTGCAATATATTCCTGAAATGTATCATATATGTAGACAAAGGCGCTTAAAAACAGAAAGGTTAATACAATCATATAGTACGTTCATACTGCAGAATAATTGTATGCAAACATTATGTGGCCTTACGTGTATAAATATATGTCAATGCTGGCTGCAACTTACACAATTTTCAAATTTGCTATGGCTCGTTATGAAATAATTCCCTAAACGTTCTGAAACAGCAGCATAATATTGTGTTCTGAACATTTTATTCTGTTACGTACAGTTTTCTTTTGTGTTAAATAATATTATGTAACAATTATTTCAAGAATCTGAACATAAATGCATGGAAACAATATATTTTTACTGTTTATTGAATGTATTGAATATATTCCATGATATATAGCTTTTAACTTAATTATGTTATTTCTAAAATTATGAAAATATTTATAGGTTAAACTAAGTGTCTTTGACTTGTTTATAAGAAATATACAAAAGTATATATTTATAAATTGATTGAAACAGTTAGTATTTGTCTAAAAAAGCAAGTCACAAATGTATTGAAATCTTCGTAAATTATTGATAAGCTAATTATACAACTTTGTTTTGTTGAATATTAATAGTGAAGTAAACAGTTCAATGAAAAAAATACAAATGCACTTAAAAGGACATTCGTGTTACAAAGTCATCTTTTTTAGATAACTATATTTACACAATTGGTGTATTTAGATAGTAGCACTGCTATAAAACACGCTATAAAACACGAGGCTAAACACAACAATTAATGATTTAATTAAATGAAGCAAACGTGAATAAAGTGTCAGGATGTTTACCAGAAACGAAATAATTATTGATATCTCTTTTTTCAATTTATTTTACTTTGATTATACTTTACGACGTTGCTAGGCAACGAAACTTTTAATTGCTCATTTAATAGAAAACAAGCATGCTAACAACTTTCTTCTGTAACAATATATTTCTTTGCTGTCAAATTAAAAGTAACAACTAATGGAAAAAAGTTGTACCCACTAACATCTTATCAAGACAGTGTAATCGAAAATCAAAATTATATGGAACAAAAATCAAAGAGCATTCACATTACAGAAATAAAATATTCCGGGACATTTTATTATCTGCTACATGAAGGTTTTTATCGGATTTGTATCTCACCTTTACCACCAACATCAGTATCTCATTCTGTTGTACTTTGTTGCTATGTATGATACTAAATACTGTCAACATTTTTATCTATTGAATTATCAAATACCATTATTGACCTTTCACTTTATGGTCACACGTTTGAACTAAAAATCAAGTCACATACCTATCCCTGGAGGTTCCTCAAGCTTTTTTAGTTCGCAGGCAGTTTTTTTCTGATTTAGAATACCCATTTGTTCCGCTTAACTGTCTGAAAAGAAACGAGTCTGATATACGTGACATTTGATCCACATATGGACAGGTTCAAGTCGTCTTAAAGGAGAACAAAATAAAATGTATAAAACTCATTTTCGGACGAATAGGTTTGGTTTCAATTGTACCAACAAATCTTTGTAAATCACACATATTTACGGATATCTCTCCTAAAGTACTTAAATAGATGCATGGGCGTGAATAATTTGAAAACAATGGTTTTTTAAACAAATTGAAAAATAACAAATTCTTTTTAAAGGTCATTTTGTAAAGTGTTTGGTGAGATAACTGCCACATTGTAGAGACAATAAGGATTCTATTTTGGACGATAAATTTTCTGGTTTAAAAACCTACTTAGACGCTTGTCGAGTTCAAACGTGTTCAGTAATGTGTTTATTGCGAATCAGTTTTGGGTACTTAACAACGTAAAATATTCCACACAGCTATTTAATATGTTTGCCCTTTTTAAAAGTGTTTCGGAATGTTTTGCTTTTTTGCTCATTTTGTCATCATTTTATAATTGGTTTAAAAATAATTAAAATATATAACGGGGTTGGAACCCAAGCGGATATAGCGATCCTTAGTTTACAGGTCTGATTTGTTAACTAAAAGACATGCCGCTTATTATATTTGACAAACATTTCTTTGAAAATTATTACACAAAACGTTGCAAATGACAAAAACTCACAATTAATAAACACTATGGTGCTTGATAGCATGTCGGGTAAAAATACATTAAATGAGAAAATTCTCAATTTGTATAACTTCAAAATGCGTTGGCAAACATTAGCTTGTTTGGTATATTGAATTACAGTCGCGAAATTAAAACAAAGTTTTGTTTGATAACTATATCTATGTTTGGTAACTAATTTCTAGATTGCCATTAGTTTTGTATATTAAATCAGTACGTCACACTAAGAAAGGATTATTTGTAATTTACGAGTTACTTTAAGGATTTCCTTGTCATGTCATTTGTATTCATTTACCAGTCTCGTGGCGTAGTAGAACAACTATTTTATAATTGCTTCACAGCATTTTATGTCATTATAGATGACGAGGATTTATTGCGTGACAACGAATATTTGAGAGAAGTGCTCTTAGCAAAGCAGTTCATATTTAGTATCAAGCTATGAATTTATTTCAAGGAAGTTAAAGACGGGACGTTTGTGAAAAGTTTTTCATTTCTTAAAATGTTATTTTGTAGGAAACATGATTACATCTTGCAAATTAACGTGTTTATTAAAGATATGAATCTGATAAAAAAGTACTTAACATGATACATAGACTAAGAAACCATTATAATGCAATGCGTGAAACCATATCATTAACAGAATCATTTATTGGTATTGTTCTGAAGATATATGCAAGGTTGGAAAATGCAAATGGGTGATATTCAATATGCGGAAAGGCCAATACTGCATTTTGTTTGATTTGACGGGAATGAACCATGCTGTTTCAATTTTAATAGATGTTGATTAACGATTAACGAGTTTTCTCCAGTGAAGTTAATTTATTTTCGAATTGCGGTGAACATTTTTATGAAAGTCTGATTTATTACACTAATTGTTAATTGACCGCTTTCTTATATTGTTAGAGTTATTATTGGCCTCAGGCAATATGACCTTATGCCGGTAAATATCACAATATTGGTCTTGGTTGTTTTTCCCTTCTGACGGTAAATATCACATCATATTCATTTGCGGATTAGTCAATAATAATGCATTGTTTGATTATATAGTTAGACAACGATAAAAAATAAAAACGTAAAGACTATCTTGACTGTTCTCGTTGAAGATCGGGAAGGAGTCGCAATTACAAAAATAACGTCATAAGTTTAATGGCTACGCCAAGGCTGCGCAAATAATTATTTCAAGTATTAAAGTACTTAGTACCATTTCAATGAACCGGTTCCGAGGAAATAACATTATATGCAGATGGATTTTGAACAGACTTATGAGCAATCAAATCGAGTATATTTGAATCAGATCGCTTAACATTGTTGACAACTGTTTGAACCATTAAGTTTGCAGAAAAATTTAGATCATATAATATCACTTTATAAATACTAGTAGTCTGTAATGTAAAGTTTGTATACCTGTAATTAAAATTTCTGAAGCCAAATGAGTCAATTTATAAAAAAACATACACGGAAGTGTGATAATTCGAGAATAACGAGAGCAAAAGTCGACGAGACCCTATATAAACCCTGAAAAAGTCGAGTAACACGAGTAAAAATTGGTTTGTTTGTTTTGTGTTTTACGTCACATCGACACAGTATAGGTCATATCGCGACGTTCCAGCTTTACTGGTGGAGGAAGACCTCAGGTGCCCTTCCGTGCATTATTTCAGGCACGAACGGGCACCTGAGTAGAACCACCGACGTTCCGTTTAAGGCTAGCTGGATAGTTCCCACATGGGAAAAAAAAGCCCAAAGCCATTCGGGATTGGAACCCCCACAAGCGGGAGGGGCAAGTTGATTTGAAATGTAACGACCTTTAACCCACTTCGGCCAACAGGACCCCAAAAAATTGGTTTTAATGGAACAATTTTGGTTGGCCCCGTACTTGAACCGGGTAAACAATCGATGACATTCGTAGCAAATCCTGTTTCCAAAATTGTTTTGAACGAGTTTCATTCCTCCATTATTCGTACAAACTCTTCTTAAAGAGTCTAACTCTTACAAATTTTTTAAATTTAATCCAAGTTTGATTTGGAACTCATTACTTGTACCAGTAATTACCGTATGGGAAACGCGGTGCCCCAACCGTTCTTGCTTGAGAGGGAGCTTTATTGGAACCTTTAATTGTAAATTTCACTACGTTTCGTGTAAAATGTATTTTAATCAGAGAAAGCCTTTAATGAAAACTTTGTATTAAAATTCTATTTCATTTGAGAGCTTTTCGAAAAAAAAAAATAAAATGAAAGTTAAATTACATCAGTTCAAATAAGCTAATAAAACCGCTTGCACTTTTATCGGACTTATTTTAAAGACAGTTCAATTTTTCTTGTTCGCATTATGTCAGGATGATGGAGGAAAAAACTCATTTCCATCGTTTAGAAATCACAAAATTTATTTAATTGCGATTATAGCGGAAATCTATTTCAAGAAAAGTTATACAATGAGCAGAATTGACACTTTTTTTATAAGAATATGACGATTGTCATCGACTAGTTAGGTACTTCTTTGACGCACATTACATAACAGACATGAGTTTTCATTTTTGAAGAGTCATTTATGTAAGTCTCATTACCAAAAACAACTTTGGCTATTGTCACATTATCACATTTATTGGCAGAGACGGAAGTGTCAATTTTTGTTATTAATGTTGCTATTCACAATGTACGTTCTTGTTTTAAAATTGCCAACAAACCCCTTTGAAAGCAAAATGTGAAAGGCACATGTCTTTATTTCCAAAAAAGTACAGTAACAAGACATAATTACGTCAAAAGTAATATGTTATCAATGTCAAATTATAATAATTGGTTTTAAAAACAAAGTTATAAATTCTATAGAATAAATCAATTTAGTATACAAAGCAAAACACTTAAGTCAACATTTTAATAAAGAAATTAACACGCTTTAAGAAAATCTTTTCATAGCTTTAGATGCAATTAAGATACAATGTTTGAAGATACCTTAAACGTCGCTAAACAATATTTGAAAATAAAATGCGGCGATTTTTTTCCTTCTTAGTTATAGTTTAGTGATTTTTAGAATTTTTGTTCAGGCTTACTTTTCACCGTTTGTTCTTCTAGGTTGGATTAAAATTTAATTTTAAAGAAAAGTTGTATTAAAACCTATGGAGTAAATTATTGGGCTAATAATTAAGGAAAAATTAAAAATACTTAACATGCTAGTATGTAAAATCATACCTATATATACCATTTTAATATTCAACCAATTTTCAAAATCCGTAGGTAAGCACAGACAAAATATACGAGGGTTGTTCGGAAAGTTTTGAGACTGGGTCAATATTTAGCGTTGGAAAAGATAAAATCAAACAAGAGTTTACTATGTATTTACTTTAATACCTCATCTATTATAGTGTAAAATTTCATAACAATAGCTTCATGTATAACAAAAGCTACAAAAACGTTAGGCACAGACACTACCGGATGACCCGGCGCACGCAACGACGTTATCCCACGTTGCCGTTATTTCCAGAGTTTAACGTCACCGTAGAAAAGTCAACTGCTACTCCTTTTCAAAGTATCTTTCTTCACAACGTACACATTTTCTCATGCCTCGTAACCCACTTGGCGAATACATTTCTATACCAGTCAGATTTAAATGTTGCAATAATGCTCATAACTCTAGAGCGCAGTTCAACTAGGTCGCACTGAAGCGCGTTTCTTGCAAGTGTCAGTTTATCGTCGATGACGGATGGGCGACCGCTCCTTTCCTTGTCTTTTGTTGACTTTCTGCCATCCCGAAACTCTTTATGCCATCTAAATACCAATGGTCGACTAACAGTACGTCCGTTGTTTGCCTGTTCTAGAAGTTGCTTAGTTTCTGTTGGCGTTTTTCCCAAGATTAACGCAAAACTTAATAAAAACACGCTGTTCCTCTTTTTGACGGTGTTTCCATAGTCGTTGTCTTGTCGCGCACGTATTGCTATAATATATCTGCGGTAACGGCTTAAACAACTAGCGGAAATGACGTCCTTAAGTTGGAAGTGACGTCATAAAATTTTTCGTGACGTTTGGCGCAATTTAGGGGCTCTTTTTATTCAGTAAGAAAACTGATAACAAGAAACATAGTCCGTGCGCCAGGATGCGTAGACAGGTGTTGCTATGGAAACGATTATATGCCGTATAGTAACGTTAAAACGTTTTTAAGAGACATAACTCGGATAATAAGCTATAATTTGTCTTAAATAATATTCGCAGCTGTAATTAGAAACAGAGAAAATCATATTGTCTCAAAACTTTCCGAACAACCCTCGTATATAAGAAATAAATAAATGAATAAGTTTGAATTTTACCTTGACTGTATAAAACATTTAATTCCACATCACTTTCATTCCTTCTCATTAGTTTTGCATTATGATATTTCAGATATATAGAAACTCTTAT